GCAGTGCAGTGGTGTCATCTCAGCTCACTGCAAACTCCATCTCCCGGGTTCAAGCAATTCTCATGCTTCAGCCTCCTGAGTAGCTGGGATTATTGGTGTGCACCACCATGCGCAGCTGCTTGTTTTGTATTTTTAGTAGAGACAGGGTTTCGCCACATTGCCCAGGCTGGTCTCAAACTCCTGGGCTCAGGCAATTCGCCTGCCTCGGCCTCCCAAGTGCTAGGATTACAGGCGTGAGCCACCGCACTTAGCCAGATGCCTCCCTTTGTAAAGTACAATTATGTTTCCCTTTTTTTTGTTTTGGCTTTTGTAACTGAAATATTAATTGCTTACTAGATATCTAGGTGTTCCTCACATTTCCCAGATCTCTTGCAGTTAGGTGGGCTCAGGTGATTAGTTCTGTTCAATGGACTGTGGTTGACCAAAGAATTTAAGAGCTAGCAAATGAGCCTCCAACAATCTCTTCGCTGTTGAGGCAACCTAGAAACTACATGTTGAGATGGCAGTGTCACAAGGTCAAAACAGCCCGAGGCTCCAAACTACCACAGCATTTACAGTCAGTCTTCGACACCTGTGAGTTCTGTATTAGTGGATTTGCCTAGTCACTAAATGTGTTTGTAACCCAAAATCAATACCTACAGTGCTACTGAGGTCATTCACAGACTTGTATTGAGAGGTGACAAGTTTGAGTCACCTGATACACATGTTCCCAGCTGAGGTGGAACAAGGCAGTGCTCTGCCTTCTTGTTGCAGCTCTCATGGTGTAAATATTAGTAAGTGTCTTTTTTTTTTTGAGACGGAGTCTTGCTGTGTCACCAGGCGGGAGTGCAGTGGTGATCTCAGCTCACTGCAACCTCTGACCCCCTTGTTCAAGTGATTCTCCTCCCTCAGCCTCCCAAGTAGCTGGGATTACAGACACGTGCCACCACCCCAGCTATTTTTTGTATTTTTAGTAGAGTCGGGGTTTCACCATGTTGGCCAGGATGGTCTCAATCTCCTGACCTCGTGATCCGCCCGCCTCAGCCTCCCAAAGTGCTGGGATTACAGGGGTTAGCCACCGTGCCCGGCCAGTGTCTTTTTTAAGGTCTATCTAGTGATGCACCTTTTGTGTTGTGGGGCTATTTGTTGATGATTTCAATGTTTAAAACGGCTCTTAAGCTTAATGCCAAAATGTTGTGTGGTGGTTTTAGAACAAGAAGGCTGTAATGTGCCTTTTAGAGAAAATGTATGCTAGAAAAGCTTCTTTCAGGTCGGGCACGGTGGCTTACGCCTGTAATCATAGCACTTTGGGAGGCCAAGGGGGCGGATTACTTGAGGCCAAGAGTTCAAGACCAGCCTGGCCAACATGGCAAAAAACCTATCTCTACTAAAAATACAGAAATTAGCCAGGCGTGGTGGTGTGTGACTGTAATCGCAGTTACTTGAGGCACGAGAATCGCTTAAACCCAGGAGGCGGAGGTTGTAATGAGCAGAAACTGTGCCACTGCACTACGGCTTGGGCGACAGAGTGATACTCCATCTCGAAACGTCACGAGACAAGACTAATTTGAGTAATAA